CCCAAAACCCTATTCTAATGAGTAAGGTCCCTATATCAGGGTTTCGGGTTGAGGGACCTTTGATAGAGCCATTCTGGTCCTTAGGGTCTAGGGTTTAGTTTAGGTTGCTCGTTGCCAGGTCTCGGCACTGAGTTTGCCAGGACCCATTAACCAGGGTTATCAGTATAACTATAGGTATGCGTAGTTACCTTATCTATAACCCTAGTTACTAAGTGCTCGTTGCCAGGTCTCAAGGTTTAGGGGCAAGGGTTCAGAGTTTAGAGTTGAATAGGGTGTACTAGGACTCCCTATAGTACCCTTTCATAGAGCCCTTATGGTCGTTAATAGAAGGTTTTTGGGGGATAAAAGAGGGTAGTTGGGGGGGTCTAGGTTCGCTGTAGGGTTTAGGGTTTAGTCTTTGGGGGTCAGTCGACGCCTCAGTAAGAAATAAAGAGAAGAGGGTTCCTTTTCAGGGTCCTCGCCAGGGTCTTAGACCAGATAGGGGAGTTTCCGAAAAATCAGGGGTACCGTATTTGGGGGGTCCTTATAATAAGGATCCCACTATTTAGGGTGCTACATTAGGGTCCCCTAATTTTCGGAAACCCCCCATATTCGAGTTATAGCACGGAGCCCTCAGGTTTGGCTCCTCCAGTGCCGAAATGTTTCCGACACCTTGCAACCCTAAATCCTTGTTATCTACGCCCTGCTACGCCCTAAACCCTGAACCCTAGCCCCTAAACCCTAACCCCTGAACCCTGATCCCTAACCCTGAGCATCCGGGGTGTTGAATAATGAGGGTTTGGTCGTTCCACCTCCTTGTGCGTCCTTTCATCAAGGTCATTGCATGGGGGGCATTGATGCAAACTTATATTGGTCTGGGGCGGTTCTTAAGCCATCCACTGCACACAAACAAGTATTTTCGCACTGCCCCACTGCGCTTTCTCTTCGTCGCCAACCTCCTCAGAGCCACGATCCTGCATCACAAGTGTAATAAGGAAATCAGCTTGTGGCTTCTTATTATTTATACTTGTAATAAATCAAGGTCTAAATCCCTCCCTTGCCTCAAGTACCATTCGGCCAGCACTGTACTTTCCAGTGTTGCTCGGTGTGCGGCTTTCGCCAATCCTTGTGTCAGGAGTCTAGAATAGATGGTCAGGTGTAGTTGTGAAATTCACAAAGCGAGTCGAATACGAGAATACATGTGCGAAATTTGACAGAGCGGCTCTTGGCGAACTTCATCCCCGCTTCGCCGCGAAAACAATGGAACGTTCGAGGGTTCACCAACTCGGTAACACAATCGAGCAGCAAATGATGAAACCAATGGTGCTTCGGACGCAGCTGCCACGCTAGCCTCCAGGGGCAAGGCATCATGACTCGCTACCGATAACATACAGACTTTGGCCGATGCGCCTCTCTTCAGCCACCGCTATGCGCGCTAGCTTTGTGTAGCTAGCTAGGTGTTGTAGCCCCGTGTCGCGTATGCCAATGGCTTCCTTAGCACGTGCGGCTCACCAATTTAAAAACGACTAGCTGAATCCACGATGCGCGCCTCCGCAGTCAAGTACCGGCCCGCAGATTCGATCTTGCAATAGAAATCGTGCAGATGCCAAACAGCATGGGCTACCAGTTGGAGCCGCTCGGTCTTGTGCACATCTGCAGCTTCTGCACACACCGACGCAAGCCACGAGGTAATGACTCGACCGTTGTATGCCTGATTGCGGGGGGTACATAACTAAAACAAACGTATGACTCCAACCCTATACAACCCTATGATAATGTTATCGTTCAGGGCTTCGGGTTGATCGCTAGGGTAATTAAAATATGATTCAACTATATATATATATATATATATTACCATCAAGAACAGGGGCAGCGAAGGGCTCAAGGGATTAGGGGTATAACGTAGGGTTGTAAAGTTTATAATACTGGCATAGGAAATAAATAAAGGTGTAAAAAATACTGGAGGCGACGATCCCCTTGTTGTTTGGCCAAAAATATTGCAGCGGCCAAGCGTCTTTGGTTTGAAGAAAACAGAACTCGTCTCCGCACTTCGAAACCAACATGTACGGTTTGAAGCAACTCTGCGAGCAGCTGATGCGGTGTTGTCTGGTCATTGCCGGAAATAAGAAAAGGCTTTGGTGAATCTCTCCGAAGCATCGGCTCCCGGAAAGACGCCAGCATCCAACAGTTCACGTAGGGCGCTGCCATTCAAGTGCAGGCCTATGCCTAGTTGAGCTGTATGCATAGAGCATATGCGAATCATTCGAAAGTTGAACCCTATGCAATATAGGATCGGGTTCCAATTCCTATCCTGCGGGAGTTGCTCAGATAGGAATCGCTGTTGATCGCGCTCTGTAGGCAACCAGGATGGTTGAGTACTGAAGTCTACATAGCTCAAGTGTGCCGGCTTCGATTTGCTCGCACTGCAGCGATGGCAACAGTAATCAGACATCCAGGTAGAAGCTAGTCGGAAGCACTGATAGTGCCATTTCCAGTCTCCGCGCATCTCAAACAATCTGCATCTGAACCCGATGTCGTGCCCTGGCGGCGGCCCTGCATGACTGCTCCAAGGGTTTCCATTGGGATCTTGATGCGGAGCTGTGCCCAGGAGGCAAGCATTGAGAGACCAAGCAATAAACAGCCAAACTTGCTCCAGTGATTCCGGACCACATATCCTGCTCTCCCTCAAACAGAATAGTGGAAATCTGGTGCCCCACACCGACTTTAGCCGGTCATCGTACAGCGGGAAACCTGCAAAATCAAGGTTGGTTCATGTTATTAGTTTTATAACTAAATAATTAGGAAGCTTCGCTACAATGAATTCCTATATCTATGTACCCCATTCCTTTAGTACCCCCTGAATAACTAGAATAGGGTTTTCGGGCTCCTTTAAAGGGTTCCTTCAAGGGCTCTATGAGGGCTATAGGGGCCTTAATAATTAGAATAGGGCTGCTTTAAAGGGTGTTCTTAAAAAGGGTCACTATAAGGGTTCTAAGATATGGGGCCTTTAGCAATTAGAATAGGGTTTTTGGCTTCTTGAAAGGGTTCCTTAAAGGGTTCTATAAGGGTTTAGGGTTTATAGGGGCCTTAATAATTAGAATAGGTTTTTGGGTCCCAACATACTATCGTCATAATAAAGAACCGCCAAAAGAGTATAGGTCATCATTTAGGCCCCTAGATTCAGGTGGAGAAGGCTTTCGGCAGGATGGGTCTCTGCTAAGCGTCTGGACAGGGTCTTCCAAGTTTGAGTGCCCAGATCCCCGGTAGGATCTCGAAAGTACAGCCCTGCGCTTCCGAAGGGTGCCGTGAACCCTAAACCCTTTCAGCCCTCAACCCCGAACCCTAGACCCTAAACCCGAAACCCCCTACGCCCTGAACCCTTATTTCATAAACCCCTTACTTGAGGGATTTGGTTTTCCGAATCCTCCGCGGGTTCTGTTTGTGTGTGTGTGTGTGTGTGTGTGGGTATGTGAGTGTCTGTGTTGTTTGACTGTGGCTCTGAGGGTTTATAGAGTTTAAGTTTAGGGTTTAGGGGTTTTCAGGTTCAAGAGGGTATGGTTGCAGTTAGTGGTTGAGTTGTTTCTGTCCTGCTTGTCGATTCCATGGACCGAGGAAGTAGGTTCCAACACCTAGTCAAGATGGGTTCTCCTTTCAAGACAAGCACTGAACCCGAAAATTGGGTTTCTACGCTTTATAAATTATTATCAGTGTGGACGGTTGTTATATTATAATAGCTGTTTTATATTCTAACTCGAACCATTTATAATTGGAATACAAAACAGCTACGCAAATTAGACGGTAGACTCAAGAAGATCATCAAGACCTTCTCTTTCGTGTCAGTGTACTCGCACTCGTCCCCATAGAGAGACACAGGGTGTACAACAAATCCATCTTTCTCTTTGGGGAAACGACCAAGCCAGGGTGTACCTTGTTTCTCGTGGTGAGACCAGAATTGCAGAGCAGCAGAGTTGTCGAGCACCAGGAGTTTCTCTTTGAGAAGCCATATAATGACTTCATGTGGGCAAAGTATCGGCACATCCGTCAGGACAGGGTTTGACAAAGGAACAGCCGGAACGGTTGGGTCCGCATCAGCACTTGTTGTCGACGGCAGGTCTGGCTTCAGAGGGATCTTGATGATGTGTGGTTTCGGCACCTGGGGACCGGATTCCTAGTGTAGGGCTTCATATAGAGATTTTGTTTACTGAGGTATTATATTTAGGCGTCTTCCTACACTTTTAAGCGGGGTTTTCGAAACATCCTAACTTGACCTTCGTACGAAGCAAGTCGGCCGCGGCTCGCGAGACGTCTCGGCGAATATTTCCTTGTCGCTGGCCTTGATTTCCAGCACTAGCAATCTTGCCGACCGAAGCTGGTGTATGGGGCCCAACGTCCTGCACCGTAGCAGGCTCTTATAACAATAATAACTATTATAAATTATTAAAGCTATATTCAACCGTTTAGCTAATTATAATAAAGGATTACAGTTACAACCCCGACCCCGGTGGCTCCTCTCGAACACATCCAGCGATGTCTTGCGCCACTGAGGCGCTGATCTCCTGGTGGCAATGCAAGAGATTCCAAGAGGTGCCTCTGATTGCAGTTTGTGTGTGCAGTCCAAGAGACCCCACCACCAACAGCAGCCAATAATCGCGCAGTCAATGACGAGGTTTCTGCGTGGCGGATGCACTGGAGCTATTTGTGTAACAAATAACTGTTTATTGGCACCGACATGCTCCCAACATATAGTCGCAACATGTTGCATCTGTTTCCCCCGCGGCAGAACACCAACAGGATCATTCTCGACACTCTTCGCTAGGGATCTAGAGCGAAATCAATTTAAAAAGGCTGTTCATGCAGCCGGTCCCATGGGATTGCGAACCTCGTGTTGGTCACGGGAGCCCCTAGCACCATAAGTACTGTTCTAAGTTTGATTTCTAGTCACACACGCACTGCC